ACCTACAGGCACGGGTAGGGCAATGCTCATGGTCCCTCACCTTACGCGATCTTGGGGCTACCCTGCCTTTTCTACAACACCCTTTCTTTTTCATCTCACACAGCAGGGCATTTTCTGGTGTGAACATGACAGCAGTGCTCTTCCTCCGGGGGCATCAGTAGAAGATTTTGTAGCTTACAAATTTTTACCAAGGTAAAGAAGTAGGTGACACCTATTCCCCCAAATACTGTACCGTATGTATGGTATCCCGTACTTCTAGGAACTGGGCTTGCATCCCACTGACTTCAGAATGACAGATACACATATTTCAACTTAGCTCACGTTTACGTGTCCCCTAAACAGCAACTTTCCAAAACTAGTAACATCAACATATGCCTAGAGCTGTGCGCTGCCTTCAGCTGGAGCCATCGTTTATTAGCTCCCCCGAAAATAAAACCTGTCAAGATCACACTGGTAAACTTATTCCTGACTTTCAAGAGAAAAATGGGGAGCACTGCACTCTCAGTGACGAGATGAAAGCTTCAGCAGGAATCTGAAAGATCCAAAGGAAAAAAAGTCACTGTGTAAGTTTTGATTTACAGCATGGCCCCTTTCCCCCGTACAGCCTGCTCAATGGCTATTCAGTGGCTTTCTGATATTCTTTATGTGAAATCCATGTTGGTAAAAAAATACCACCTGACTGGGTAAGAAAAATTACTGATGACCTGGTCCAAAGCTAATTGAAATGAATCTTAGTGAAAGCATTACAGAATGAAGCTTTCACAAAGACTTAATTGGATTTTGGATGGAGCTCTAGAGGGGCCGGTTGGTTGTGTGGGAGATGTTTTACCTGCTGTGCTTTTTTTTTTTTTTTCCCCTGACCTGCTGGAGCCCAGTGGTGGAATTTCAGGCATAGTCTGTTGATGTCTCCGCTGGCAGGCAGAAGATATTTCTGAGTCCACCCACGTCAAATCTGCACTGGTGAGTATCTCTGGATGTTTGCATGCACACAAGCAAACAAATACACAGGCTGCGTTAAAAAGCATCACTGGCGTTATAGAGTCAAATAAAGACATCACAAAAGGCAAAACGAAGGTGATGTAATTCTCTGTCCCTGTTGTATACTCAAGGGCATTTTTCTGACTTCTTAATGGTAGATTTTTCAACCCTAATAATGTTCTTTTAATGCATTTGTGAAATCGCCAGAGGTTTTTTAGTAGCAAATTAATACAAAACAAAAATCCCATTGCTCAGCATTGTGTTGACACACAATTTGATCATAAACAGGGATGAAACTTCCCAATCCACTTTTCCTGGATGGTTTTTAAGGGCATGAGCTGTCTTTAGTCCCATCCCACCCTAGAAGACAGTGTAATAGACACCTTTTCCCTTTTTATTCCTGGCTCTAGGTCACCAGTCATTGTCTCTTAGCCATTTCCACCTAGTTTTCATTTCCCAGCCTGTATTAGTCTTATTTTCTGCCCATTTCAATCCGGTCACAGCCACTTTCTGAGCTCCAGCTTCCTTCTTTTCAGCCAGTGTCCTCTCCCACCTTGGTTTCCAGTCATGCTGGATAAGTGTGCTCTAGGCTTATCCAAAGCTGTTTCCAAAGACCTTTCCTGAGATCTTTGCTTAAACTTAGAGTTTCAGGGAACATCCTGCTTAATCACCCCTACATCAAGCTCAGTGAGTATAAAATATTTAAAGGAATAGACCATGGAGCCTAAGAAGTATCTTCTGCCCATGTGTGAACTGATTGTTAATGGTCTTGCAACTTGGCCAAATTTAGGCAAAATTTCATGTCTCCCCCAAAAGCCTTTTCCTGCATCAAGCAAGCTGTCTCTTATGAATTTTTGGATACAAATTGTAAGGAAGGATGCGTTTCTCAAGAAAAGGAGCACTTAGTTTGTGTGTTTACTTTTACCAGCATAGGGCTACATCTTTTCCCATCATTTTGTTTACAGGAAGAGTGGATTCACTTGGACTGAAGTGAAATTAAACAAATGCAAATGCCCTGCAGCCTGTCTCAGCCTGATAACCAGAATGGTAAAATTTACCCGAAATGCTTCAAGTTTGGCAAAGTTATAAGCAGAGAAAACATGTCTTGCAGTATTAAATATCAACTGACATAAAATTAGGCAGTGCTATCAGCTCCACCTATAAAGTTACCGTATCATCGAGTCAGTGGAGGGTGAAAGGAGAAACGTAAAACAAAACCCAGTACAAAAGGAAGAAGCTTTAATGGCTTAGAAATACAACAACAAGGTCTCTACTTGGGCAGTTTTGGAGTCTGAGGAGATAATATGCTGGGTTTTTTCTTTGCCCAGCTGTATAACAGAGCTGAGAGAGAAAATTGATTTTTCATGCAAAAATATTGAGTTGCAGTTCACTTGTAATTTAATTTATTATTTTTATACTCTGCACATAATTTGTTAGGGCACCCTCCTATCTCTATAACATTGTTGGAAAAGGTAATATCGACCAGTTTGCTAGCAATATTAATTTGCTGTATTATAGGCATTTCTCTTATAATCATTACTATTGTTTCCAGGCCATAAAATGTAACTGGTGTGTGAGCATGCAAGTATTTGCAGGCTGGGGAAGCGCCGCGCGCTGCTAGGACACATCGGTCACGCAGGTAGGTGGTATACCCACAACATCTCCAGGCTAAGGATTGTGTCACAGCTTGTGTGGAAAACTGGGTTTGGGAGCTTTATTTTTTTTTTTTAAGTTGCTCGTCTGTTTCAGTTTCCCTTTTCCCACTGGTTCTGAACGCTTCACTCCTGCCTCCCTCCTCCTTTTTTGCCCTTTTATTTATTCTATTTTTTCTTTATTTATTTTTCCTTTATTTATTCTAACTCAGCAATGCAGGGTTGCAAGAAACCAAGTTTTTCAAGGTTTGTGTCTGTTTGATACGGGCTTTTAGAGGAGTTTAATATTAAACAAAACCAGACACCCCTGCCCCAAACTCGAAAGCTGAGGCCCTCCCTCTTGAATTGCCATGTGGTTTGCAATGTGTGGATGAAAAAGATGGTACAAGTGATACAGAGCAGCTTTCAGCCACCTTTACTCCAGGAGAGATCTCCTCCACCTGATGGTGGAACCCTTGAGGTGTGGTTATGTCTTCTTGGTGCAAAGGAGTCAGAGAAGCCAGGGAGGACTCGTGTCCTGAGGAGGTAACTGAGCTCTGGTGTTGAGTGCCTGCTCTCAGATGGAAGGGGGGACAAATGGGCTGATCTGGCATGGCTGGTGTTTCCATGAACCCAGCTTGGTTGCCTGATGTGGACCAAAGCACTGGACAATCCAAGAGAGAGATCGAGGTCCTGGAGCGAGTGCAGAGGAGGGCAACGAAACTAGTGAAGGGCCTGGAAGACAAATCATATGAAGAGCGGCTGAAGGAGCTGGGACTGTTCAGTATGAGGAAGAGGAGGCTGAGGGGAGACCTCATCACCCTCTACAACTACGTGAAAGGACACTGTAGAGAGGTTGGTGCTGGTCTCTTCTCACAGGTAATTAACAATAGAACGAGAGGGAACGGCTTCAAGCTCCAACAGGGGAGGTTTAGATTGAACATTAGGAAGGAATTTTTCACAGAGAGAGTGGTTGGGCATTGGAATAGGCTGCCCAGGGAGGAGGCTTCCCAGGGAAGCCCTAGGGACAGTCTGTCTCTGGGTTTGGATTTTTTTTATAGGTGTCATGAAGCTTAAGCTCCATCTCCGTTCAGGGGGAGGGAAAGTTTGCTGCACCCCTGGCTCCCTGGAGGGCTCCCTGAGCAGTAAAATACTCACTGCATGGGGCAGGCTGTTCCGGACACCGTGTCACGATAGTACCTGGGTGGGTTGGTAGGGCTGGTGCTTGCAGTTTCCTTTTCAACTGGATTCACCAGCTCCATCTTTCAGACCCCAGGTGTGTCTTTGCATCCTCCAGGTCTCCGGGCTGCACAGTTGTCATCTGAGGTAGAAACTAAGATTAAGTTTCACTGGAGAAAAAAAAAAAAACAAAAACAAAAACAAAAAAAACATAAAATCGGGAAAAAAGATTCCAACCACAACTTCACCTTGTAGGATAAGTTCATCTGTTCCCCTCTCAATCTGATACATTATGATTTTCCTTTTATACTTTTTCTAAAAATACCGAGCCAAATTGAACCTAGCTACGAGCTGAGTTATGCCAAAGTTAAATTTGCTGTAATTAGACTTTTCTCAACTTCTTCCTCCTTTGCTCAGTCTTAGTTTAATTATTAAGTGGTTCAAAGACACCCCGTTGATGTAATTTTTTTTTTTTTTTTTTTTTTTCCTGCTTACGAGTAAAGCTAGGTAGCTCACCAGCTGGAAGTTATTGTTGAGTGCCCATAGGTAGAAATGAGTAGCACTTATTTCAGTAGCCAGGCATCTCTAATCAACAGTTTTATTCTCAGTCACCACATATGGCCAAAATCCCCTGTGTCAGTGAACCTCTGCTACCTAGCCTTCAGGCAGGAAGGAACAACGTGTCTCTTTCTTTCATAAAGGGTTGGTTTTTGTGGTTTTGTGTTGTTGTTGTTGTTTTTTTTTCCTACAGCCTGGAAATGCTGGAGAGCAGCCAGTTGTGTTGGAGTCACTCTATTAACTGCTAAGGTTACACTTTGTGAAAAGCTCCACGCGCACTGAGAAAAGTACAACCAACAATTTCGTACAAAATGCCATTCCTTAGTCAAACAGAACAAAACGGGGATTGCACAGGCAGGGCTTTGCTTTTATTTGTCCAAAATGAATTTATACGCATCTATTCAGGAGGTGTAATTCCTGTAATAAACGCTGAAGAATATCTGCAAGTGACTTACAGCGTGGGGTTGGACCCGAGGAGGCGACTCAGGATGCAGGGGGACAGGGAATACAGTTTCCTTTCTTCAGAGAAATGATTGAATTTCAGTATAATTAAGACAGATGGGGGCAAAAGTTCTTCTGGTCTAGGTCTCTTATTTGAACCAGCATCCGTGGCTTCACTCTTCGCTAGGGATTGATTGCAATCTTCTTGGCAGGGAAGGGCTCTGGCGCCAGATGGTTTGATGGAGCTCGTTGGTGAAACTCCTCTCACACAGCCCTTGTTACGCACCTCTGCATCGGGGTACAAGCCACCTCCAAAGCTCAGCGGCGACGTTGTGCGTGGCTCCAGGTGGGTACCATCGCTCTGAGGCTATGGGGCATATCCCAACCATGACCAATTAAGAGTGTATATCTGTGTGTGTCTGCTCTTACCCTGCCATCGGTAACTGCACTTCAGCCTCCTGGTGAAGTACCAGAGGGCAAGAGTGGGAAATTATCATAGATTTCTTTTAATATTTCACAGAATCTTCTAGGTTGGAAGGGACCTTAAAGATCATCTTGTCCAACCATCAGCCTAACTGACAAAAATAGACACCCACACAACAAACAAGGAGCATCATCACTAAACCAGACCTCCCAGCACTACATCAACCCGTCTTTTGAACACCTCCAGGGATGGTGCCTCAACCACCTCCCTGGGCAGCCCATTCCAATGGCTGATAACCCTTTCAGTGAAAAATTTTTTCCTAATATCCAGCCTGAACCTCCCCTGGCGCAACTTGAGGCCGTTTCCTCTTGTCCTGTCGCCTGTGACTTGAGAAAGGAGACCGACCCCCATCTCTCTACACCCTCCTTTCAGGTAGTTGTAGGGTGGTACCTTCTTCCCAACCTTCCCCGTGGTGGCTGGCTGGTGTCCTCTGCTTGCCCCTGGCTCTCCACACATCCCCTGGACATGCTGCCCAGATAGGTTCACGCCCTGGGAGAGAGGCGAGAGCTGCAAGATATCTGGGTTCACTGGTTTGGCACTAATCACGGGAATCCTAAAAAGCTCTGTTTACCACTCATCTGTCATTGTCAGTTCCCAGAAACAGTAATTCCAGGAAAGAAAATGGATGTTTCTAAGGTAAGAGGGTACTTCTCATGTCAAGTGAGATATTTGCTATTTTTCATGACATTATCAACAACTGCATTTAAAAGAACGACATGAAGGTTACAAAGTAAAGCATAAAAAAGTTGTGAAATGTCAGTATTAAGGTTGCGCTTCCTGTGTATACTGTACTACATAAACTTTAATAGTAAGTTGGGTATTATGTTTTTCCGCGGTGCCCTTTCAACAGTTGATGTTAGCAGTGGCATACTCAAGGTTTTACTATGCAGAAAGCTTTTTTTTTTTTTTTTCATAGGACCTCCATCTCATTTCCTATTGAAATAGCAAGTTGTTGTTTATTTGGGTGGGAGATTTAGGAAGGGAAATAAAGTTTTTATGGCCTGGAGGAGCTGACTGCTGCCATGAGCGACTAGATTCCCCATCTGTTCTTTAGGAATAACCTCAAGCATGTCTTTGCAAAGCCCGTGCACACCCAAGTGAGATTAAAATGAGCTTGTGCAGGTGCCAGAGGTAATAGAGCAGTGCTAGTCTAGGTCTAAACCAAGTCCTTCCAACTAGTGGGCAGTTTTTTCCAGAGCTACCCCAGGCGACTTTGTAGCTCTGAATTATGCTGCATAGACAAATTGCAGATGCACGGCCATCTGTGGGCGATGTTAGAGCACATCTACGTGGCTTTTGCAAGCAGATGCTAAGGAGCTTTGCCTGTATCAAAGCTGGCTGAGCACATCTGGGCTGGTGTCACGCAGCCAAGCAGATATACCCTGAGCCCACCGGTGTCGGCAGCATCCTGCAGGTATCCACCTGCAGCACACCCTTGTTCTCCTGTACACCCCATCTGCCTCTGGTGAACCCCTCATCCTCCTTTTCCCCCATAGCCTGGAACCTGTGGGGCTGCACCTGCGACACCTGAGCAGCAGAAGGTGGGAAGGTTTCAACAGGGCTTCACTTCTTCCTACCTCAGCTGCTATCTGCAAGTAGCCTATTAGGAGCTTCAGGAGATTTAGGTTTCTCCAAGTCAGTTTTTGAGGCCCAGGAGCAGGGAAGCCTCTGGAAGTGGGTCTCCCTGCTGACCATTGTACAAGGCTGATTTTTTCCAGGCCAACATCTGCAGAAAATCCAAACCCCCTGTGTTTTCGAAGGAGCCCCATTGTCTGCCTGTGCACAATTTCACTCTTCTCTTTGTCAAGTCAGCACTTGAGCGTGTGATAAGAAAGTTTTTGTCATGAGGAAGGGGATCATAATTATCATACTCAAATTTCTCTGGAGACGAAAATCAAAATCTATTGACTGAGATAAAGAGGAGGTCAATGCATTTGATACCAGAAAGAAAAAAAAAAATCCCAATATATGCATAACCATTATTAGGTATTTTTAGGTGTTATACCTTCTCTGTGATTCAACTTAGGGAGCAGGGGGAAGAAAAATCCGAAAAGTACCGTGCTTAACTAACAGCTGAGTAATTGCAGTGACCTTACCTCTCATGCACCAGGCCATCAAGGCTCACAGCCTGCTCAGCCAAAGCTGCCTATCAAATTGATTGGAGGAGGAGGGGGCAAAGTGATTCTTCAATGTACATATCAAAGGGGAATCCCACTAATGAGTCCCTAACGACAAATATCTACTGATGATCTATTGGTGCAGGCCTTTGATTGGGGTGGAGGTGAAATAACTTCATGCGGTGGGGGGAGAAGCTGGAAGCTCAGTTCTTCTTGATGTAATTAGTTGCTCGGTCCAGTGTACCTGAGGAGAGTCCTCCTGTTTGGACCTCGCATCACTTCAGGTTGAATCTGGCCGGGGAGTAAAAGAAGAACAGGAGGATTCAAAATTGCTTTAGACACATTTAGTGCTGCAGCTTGAAGAATACCGAGGCCCTCACTTGTGAAGGACCAGGCAAGTTGAAGCATTCAAGCGTAGCCTTTGCTGCTCAGGAGGTCCTGCCGGTGCCTCAGCTCATGTGTGCACACACTGCGCCTTCTGGTGAGGTTGTTCAAACCTCTGGCAACTTTCCCTGGGTTTTCAAACACTCACTGGTGATCAGCAATCAGAAGGAATATGAACACTCTGCTGCCGCTTTCCCTGTTTTGTGCTGGGGATACTGGTGGGTGTGAAATTCACCAGCCAGGTTCACAATTTGCCCCAAGATCTGTCAAGGAAATAATTTGTCATGGTTTCTGCATCCCCCCTTTTTTTTTCTTGTTGTAGGTAAAGCCTACAAGCTGCCAGGGCAAATCAGCACTGCCAGGAGCTAAAAGGAGAGCCTGCTTTCAAACTCGGAGAGCCATCACTTCCAGTAATCTGAGATCCCTTTCCTCCTTAAATAAGAGCATTATCTTTTAAAAACTGTAGCTCTCAATGTGGAGGGATAAGTGAGCATGGCCAAGTGAAGTGGGAATGCAGTTCACAACACCTCCATGAGGCAAGGAAATATGATTTCTGTTTTGCAAATAGGAAACTTGAAGGAAAGCCCTGAAATGACTGGCCGAAAGCTGGAGAGGCATTTGATATTAGTGTTTTGTTAGGAAATTAGCATCCCTGCTCTAGTGTTCCTGCTATTAGATTGCATCTTTCCCTCTTTTAGACAAACAACTAATTAAAACAATTTCTTATATAATAGCTGTCATTAAGCCTGTGGATGCCAGAGCATACTCGAGTGGATGCTGAAGGGTAAACGATACCAGCCAGAGACCCACAGCAGGGCAAGCCTGGAAGGAGAGGCAGGTGAAGAAACGCTCAACAAATACCTTGTGGGGCTTTTATCACAGAAAGCTAATTAAACAGAAAGCGTAAAATCAGACAGGACAAGACATCATCATGAAACAAAGGACTGGACAAATAGCATTTGACAAATGATAATGTTGAGTGAATGTTAGAGGGCTGAGCCCCCTTTGTCTTTTAGGGGAATAGATTAAAGGAAAAATAATTTCACGTGAAATAGATTAAAGGAAAAATAATTTCATGTGCTTCATGAGATTTGCTATACTTTGGATACTTCTTTCTTCTGTTACTTGACTAACCCTAATACAAACCTTCAGTTTATTTTGTTCGTAACCTCTTCTGGTCGACTAAACCTTCAGTTTATTTTGTTCGTAACCTCTTCTGGTCAGATTGTTTCGGAGTGCAGCTATTCTGAATGCATTTAGCTGGAATTTTGTCCACAAGCCGTTATTATGTTTATTACATTTTTATTTTTAATATTCAAGAGATAATGAAACCCTCATTACCCTCCATATGATCTGTCTTGTTCAAGATAGGTTATCTCTATTTTGAGGATTAACTTCTTATTCCACCAGCTCAACATAATGGAGTGCTTCTGTACAAAGTACGGTGGTTCCCAGGTGGAACCTGTGCTTTTTCCCCCACTTTTTATTGTCTTTGTGTATTGGCTTAAAACTGCTCTCCCGTGCAAGTTCATTCTCAGGACCATGAGAATGAAAGACAGCATGCAGCAGTTCACATGCTAATTAGTCATGGTCAGAGGGAATTTCATTTTTGACTGTTCAGAGAAAAAGATGTCATTAGATGCTGGAGAATAACAATGTTTGCTATTGAAGTGTCTGAATGATGAGTCCAGAATTGAGCTTGAAGTAAATCTTGGTCACCACAGACAGTCCCTTGCAGGTGTGGCTGATGGGAGAAGGGCCGTTCGTACATCCTGCCTGAACAGGGGACACCGTGGGTCCAAGATGGACAAATGTAACCGTATGAAATTTAAGAAGGATAAATGCTGGGTTCTGCCCCTGGGACGGTGTAATCCTGGATGTACATCTAGACTGGGGGAGGAGAGGCTGGTCTGCAGCCCTGCAGAAACGGGTCTGGGGCTTTTGGCTGATGGCTCGGTATGAGTCCACAAAGTGCCCTGGTGGCCAAGAGGGCTGAGCGTGTCCTGGGGCACATTAAGCACAGTACAGCTAACTGGTCAAAAGAAGTGATTGTCCCAGCACTGGTGAAGCCTCGCCTCAAGTATTGCAAGCCATTTTGGGTTCCACGATATAAGAATACAAAAAGGAGGGCAAAAAAGATGGTGAAATGACTAGAGGGCATGACTTCTGAGGAGTGAGAGAGAGGTGCTGACCTCTTCTCTCTGGTGTCCTGCGATAGAACACGAGGGACTGTCTTAAGGCTGCATCAGAGAAAGTTCAGATTGGATGTTAGGAGAAAGTTCTTCACTGAGAAAGCGGTCAAGCACTGGAACAAGCTCCCACAGAAGTGTCATTGCCCCAACCCTGTTGGTGTCCAAGAAG